TTGATCATCTGCACCATCACATGAGCCAAGGTGTGAAAAAGGTGTGGGTCATTATCAGCAGAGGTTTCAGGTAAAACCATTGTGAGACCTTACCTCATCCCATCATGTGACTTACTGAGATCAAGATGTGAGTGGGTGCCTGGGGAGGTTCTCAGACAGGTGGCAGACAGTTGGTGTTGTGAGCCCCACCCTCAGTTTCTCTGATGACAGGGATGACAGTGTTGTTCTGTTTGTGATTCTGTTTCTCCATAGTTGGTTTCTGACCTTTTTCCTGTGTGCCTTTGCTGATTTGATGATAACCATATGTTTTAAGAGCTTCCTTTACTAGTGTGTGTTCCCTCTTTTTCCCTTCAGGCTTAGAGGGAACATTTTCTGCCTGGTGTTGTAGAGTCCTGATTACTCCAAGTATGTGTTCCACAGGGTGGTGGGAGTCAAAGAGAAGAAATTGGTCTGTGTGTGTGGGCTTCAGGTAAACTTTAGTGTTGAGGTTTCCATCCTCCTCCATGCACACAGCACAGTCCAGAAACAGCAAACTGTTATCCTTTGTGTCTTCCCTGATTAACTTGGATGTTTCAATCCACTGAGTTGATGTGAGCAGTGAAGGCTTCTACTTCTTGGGTTTGGATTTTGACCCAGGTGTCATCCACATATCTGTACCAGTGGTTAGGTGGTGTCTCTTTAAACGAGCCCAGAGCCTTTCTTTCCACTTCCTCCATGTAAAGGTTGGCTATAATAGGTGACACCGGGAGCCCATAGCACATCCACGTTTTTGTCTGTAGAAACCCTCGTTGTGTTTAAAATATGTGGTGGTGAGGCCGAGGTTTAACAGTGTGCAGGTCTGATCGGAGTGAAGCTGGTTCTGCAGTCTACACTGCCTAAGTTGTATGCCAGTGAAGAGAGAAACCACATCAATGGACACTATGGTTTCACCTGGATCCAGAGTAAGTTTCTGGAAATTGTTGGTGAAGTCAGAGGAGTTTTTAATGTGATGGGGTGTGTTCCCTGCAGGGGGCGCGAGGATGGTGGCGAGGGGCTTGGAAATGTTGTAGGTGGCTGAGTTTATGCTGCTAATGGGACTCCTTCTTTGTGGATCTTCAGAAGTCTGTAAATAGAGGGTATATCACCTCCTGGGTACAGACTGGGTACAGATTCACAAAGCTCATAAACAGTTGAACACAGACGATCAGTACAATGACCCTGAGTGTGAGACTTTTTTATTTCGAGTTTATTTTTTTAAAAAAAGGGTGAGTGTTAGCACAGTTCAATAACCTCATGTAGCATACAATATTAACACCGTTTGAGTGTGGCGTGTTAGCGGGACACAGAACTGAGGAGAAATCAGGACCACCAGTGGCGGGACATAGCAGGGAGAGGAGTGTGGCCAATGCTACAAAGACTGTGGATTCAGTGAGATGACCCTGAGCTGCAATTCACTCAACACATACATACATACATAATAAAGTTAGCAACAAAGGCAAATGAATATAAATAAACAGTGTAAGACTAATTCACAGTGGTAAACCAAAACATTGAGAGGGCATTTGCTTCCATTGAATTTGACCATGTAGCATTTTCCGACCTACTGCAGCTACAGTTGCTGCAAATCGTCAAGCAGCTTTGCAACCCCCCTTTACTCCAACATTTCATTAATGTGTTGACTTCTACTCTGCTCATAGAATGCCATACCACTGGATATACATTACTGCAGATGGATACAGTAATCTTCTTTTGACTGCAGAGAAGCCGACTGACCTGACATGTGCATGATGACTGAATGTTGATTATGTCTGCCAGGTTTGGGTGTTTTTACCCATTTGATTGTGGTGTAGAACTGCACAATGGGGCACTGGTTCTAGTGGAGTCCTGTGATCTCTGAGTACCCTTCTAGTTATCTTTGTTTTGAGAAACTTCATCAGGTTCCTGTCTGCCCAGCTTTTGCCCTTTCCAAGCTGATATCAAACCGTAGGCCCGTCAATGACTGATGGTCCTGGCATACACTCGCTCTGCTCCTCTGTATTTCCTCGTTGGCTCTCTGCATCAACAGACGCTCCTCATCTCGGCTTCATTTCAGGATATTCATCATATTCTCAAGCAGAAGAAAAGGCGACTCGTTTGAAAGGTCAGGCTCATTTGTTTCATGTGAGATATTCAGTGTAATAAACAGTGATAAACGGCGACTGGGGCTCACTGGGGCTGATTGCCATGTGACTGCATTTCACACACATACACACATGTACGGCACTGTGGCTCATTGCTCCTTTAAATGCCACCTGCCGGGGCTGCTGGCACGCCGTACCTCGTCCCTGCAATGCTTTTCTGCTACGCCACACCGCTTAATGATGGCTCCAGCCTGGCCGGTGTGGCCAGGCTCCATGTTCTGAGAATAATTGACAATTAGGGAGATGGAGGGGCAAGCTAAATGCCATCCCACACTCAATACAGAGACTCCATCTCTGATTGTGAAGCAGGAAATGGAGAATGGGTGGTGGAGGGGTTATACAACAAAGCTCTGCGTGAGCAGCGGTTCATATCTTCTACCTGGATCGATTGCACTGCACATGCAGAGAATTTACAGAGCAGTGTGAGAAGGGGGGAGACACGGGACAGAGGCAGAAATGTGTCGATACAGGTGATAAAATACAGGGAAACCAGTGTAAAGGCTAGTTCTACTCTAACGCATAGAAGAAGGGAATGATCTGAGGGACAGAAAAAATCAGATGATCCTTTAAATGCTCAATGATTTACTTTAGTACAGCCACTAATTACAGAGATTCAGACAGCATCTACTGGAGACTCTCCACCCATCCCTAACCTTCAACCAAACCATGGTCTTTATGTGATCTCAGTCAAATTATTTTTATACCTAAACCTAAATCAGTTGTCCGTGTTGTCATACTGCAACCACATTTCCCACACCGCGTTTTAATTTTGAGGTGAAATGAAGTAAAAAGCCTTTTGAGTCTAGGGCAGACGGACTGTCATGTTCAGTCAGGTCTGACTGTGCGAGAGACGGTGGAGGTTAATTTCTGTGCTCTGTTTTTGATCTGACATCCATCGATTCAGACTGCAGCTGGATAAAACCTATTGAAACCAAAAATGAACATTCCAATATGTGATCCAGATGAGCCATAAGCAGCAGCACTTATGAGCACTGTGTGCTGACAGAGCCAATCAGAAGAAAAACTGAAAGTGTACATTCAGAGCCGCCTGAATGCAGAGCTCCTTGTTTAAAATATTGCCCATATTTGGTGAGGAAGAACATTTAAGATGAGAATTGTAGGAGGCTATATACACTAACAAAACTTAACTTCCTCCTGATTGTCCTTTGTGGCCAGGATGTGTACTCATGTGTCATGAATAACACTTTTTTGTCTTTTAATCAAATGTAATAAAAAAAAATACTCTCTTGTTTCGATTGGCCATTAAGCACAACATTTCCATCTGTATTCTTCATCGTCTCGCTTCACATCCATCTAGCTATGATTTCTGGCAACACACAACCCCAAGAACAAGTGCAGAAATACAAATAGAGATTGTGAAAACAAAAGCACAAAGCCGAGTAGTTTGAATACCCTGAGGCTGAGCAGGATCTGAGAGATCACACAGGTTCACAGACAGGAAACAGATCTGTGCTGTAGCTCAAGGCTACAAGTCACCACCATCAGTAAAATCTCCTACATTCACATAAAGGAGGAAATGACATATGGATAAAGACCCATAACCACCTGCTCAGCTCTGTCCTTCACTCCGTTGCTGCGTCTGCCTGTATCTGTCGATCCGGTCCTCCATATGGAGTTACAGCTTCGTGAGTCAGCGGTGCGGTGACCCTTGACGAGCCTTTTTTCTCCCTTTTCCACATTTTCTTTCTTATTTTTTAAAGACAACATTTCCCCATGGATCCGTGGATGAATTTTACATCCTTCTGTTCAAGGTGTGTCAGTTGTGCTTTACAGCTTTTGCTGTTACGTGTTAATTTAAGGCTGAAGTAGGCAAAAAAAAACAAAAAAACAATAACATTACAGCGTCTTTCCTACTGCTCTCCACTCTCTGCCCTCAGCACGTGTGTCAACATACGACACCAACACATCGTAACAAACCACTACAACACACTTACATGTTCAAGGAAAATTAAGTTAGCAGATTATCCACACAGAACAAGAACAGCGAGTGTGAACTTCCCCCTTAGTGTGTTTGTTGGGCAGCTTAGATAATGTCACTTCAGAAAAGAATATCGCCCATATGGTTTTCACTGCCCTATGCATAGCCAAGAAAACAGTCCTCATGAACTGGAAAAATGAACTCCAGCTGTTACCAACTGCGTAACTACGGTTTTATGAATATGCTTCATCCATATGAAGACGCTTTTTTAATATTCATTATCAGACTCTCCTTTTAATGAGTTTTCTTGCTTTTCTGGGTTGCTCTACAAGGCTGGAAAAACACCTTTTCTTGCAGTATTTTCTGGTATTTATTACACTTTCTACTACCAGCAGCCACATGCACACAGATCTGCATTTGTAAAATGTCCAATGGAAACTTCAGCTGTGTAAAAACACTTGGCCAAAGTGTCGCTCATTGCCTAGATTTTGTATGCAAACCAGGTGCAGTCTAGTTTCCTCTCAAACCACTTCATCTATAAGACACAGAATTGTTTTTGAAACGTTTTGCCCAATCATTCCCCAAAATTACCACCCACTGAAGCCTTTTCTCTGCCAAAGCAGTTTCCTTCCCACCTGCCTAGTCTACTTCAGGGAGAATTTGGACCTCCAAAGAATGCAGCAGTGAACATGAGGATAACATGAGAGAAAAGATAGGACTGCCAGGCTGTGAATGTGATAGTAATGTCGACCGTTGTGTATTCCACCAGGACTAACTATAGTGCCATGCAATAATAAATGAGCTTCAGACCATGCCAGATGTTTGAAGATGTTCAGTAGATGTTCCTTCTGCCTTCTTGCCCATACCTCTAACACTTCCATATCCTCTGTGTCTCCTTGCAGGACTACAGAGTGAACATTTTCTTGAGACAGCAGTGGAACGACCCTCGGCTGGCCTACAGCGAATATCCAGACGACTCGCTGGACCTCGACCCCTCCATGTTGGACTCCATCTGGAAACCTGACTTGTTCTTTGCCAACGAGAAGGGGGCCAACTTTCATGAGGTCACCACCGACAACAAGCTGCTACGCATCTCTAAAAATGGCAACGTGCTCTACAGCATACGGTGAGTGGAGGATTGTTTTATATTCCAACTGTGAGAGAGAGTGGTTATTAAACGGCTCACAGCACCATCTTTGTTAAGATTTCTGACTGTCTCCTGCTGACAGAAACTGAGAGCAGTGACCTCACAGGTGAAGGAAATGTTGGGGTAAAGAGCTCAGCCAGTTGTGAGGGGCTCAGAGTAGAAAAGGAGCACATTAATGTGGTTTGGACATCTGTCTGGGATGCCTCCAGGATGCTTCCTGGACTGTTTCAGGCCCGTCCTACTAGTAGGAGATCTTGGGGCAGACTATGTCTTGGCTCTTTAGGAACACCCAAGTATCAGCTAGTGGAGCAGGAGGAAGTCTAAGCCTCTCGGCTTAGACTGTGGCCTGGACTCGGATGGACTGATAGTGAGCTCAGTGCTCCTACAGATAGATCACACCTGTACGTGAACAAATTTGTTTGGCACAACAAAGCATTCAGACTATCTTTCTGCTTGCTACTACTGCTGGACAAGACGGGTAGAAGAGCACATCAGGAACTTTATAATTTAGAGAAGAGCGATAAAGAAAAGTTTCACACCGGGATGAAGAAGAGTGTTTATAGGATGGGATGTCGTACTGAAACAATCAGTTATAAAACTGTGATAGGAAATAAAAAGTGACTGTCCTGCTCTGACTTCCTGTTTATTGCATTTCACATACCTCCCTCCTCTGCTTCAGAATTCTATTATTGCGTCAGAGTTGGAGGTTTTTATTTCCTCTACTTGCTCACTTTTTTTCTCTTTTTATCTCCAAGACATTCTTTTCAAGGCTTTCAGAGTTATAGCCTCCTTCAGCTGACAAACCTTTTAGCCTGCCGGAGCCTCCTCCTTGCTTTTATTGCGTTTGCTCGGGGGCAAATGAAAAAACGCAGGAGCCATGGTAATCTACTCTGCCTGTTAGTATTCCAGCAGTGTGCCTGATCCATTATCAACCTCAGTTTTCACCTTCATGTCCAGCAGCAGGAGGAGGAGTGAGATTGGCCCTTCTGCACTCTGCCTCCTATGCTGCTTTCATTTTTTTTAACTTGACAACATCAGAATGAACCCTCGGTTGATCAGCTTGATCTCAGAGGCGACAACACGACTCGGGATATTAAACCATCCCGGGGGAAGGGGGAAAAGTGGGTGCTGTAAATGCTGTTTTCTTTTTTCTATCGTCATCACTCATCGGCAGAGCAGCACAAGGGGAAGTCATGACTGATGCTTGCTTCTCCTCCGGCATGAAAGCAAAGTTTCTGAGACTGGATGGCCAGATTCGCATGTAGTGCAATCTCCCGCTGCACTTCAGACACAAGCACATGCTAGCACTGAAGTAATATAGAGTCCCATTCGTGCATGGGGGGTACTTTATCAAAGGGAATATTTATGCACCGGCACCAGTTTGCAACTGCAGTCAGCAACACCCTACAAAACAAGAGGGAGACCCCCAAAGATCAGACCCCATTCGCAGCACTCGGCCACAGTAGAGACAAACTCTGTTTCAACTGGAGGAGACCGCCAGCACCAGGATCTGGGTGGGGGAGAGCACAAATGGCAAACCTGAGACCCAGCAGCTGCAGAGAGCACTCACTTTCACAGACAGTGAAGTTAAGAGTGTCAGAACTGTCAGGTGTGGGTTTGATCATTTCTTCCCTCACTGAAGAAGAAATTTGATGGTTTCTTTTTGACACAATCTCTGTAACCTCGTGCCTGCTCATTTCCACACCACCGCCGCCGAGGCTCATTCTTCCCTCCAAGAATAAATGATGCTTCAGATACCCTCTATTCCACTCTAACTGGGGCCTGGCAATCTCACTCCTCTTTCCATTATATCTGCTCAGGCTGTTCCATCCCAGCCGTTGCTATCTAGGCAAGCTGCAGACAGATCTCAGAGACTCTGAGAGAAAATAACTTAAACCTGGAAATTTTATGGACCTCATTGAATCTCCTATTAGGCATTTGCCTCCAGCTTAACTTCAGCAAAAATGGAATTTTTCCATTACAAAATCCACCTGCTCCATGCACTAGGAAATGATTTTCCACCCTGTCCTCCTTCACTGGTGACATCTCTCTACCTCATGACTTTGCTTGCTTCTTTACTAAGAAGGTAACAGACGTTAGAGGTCAAGTCAGTGAATCTCCTCCCACTGAAGATGTGTCACCGCTTTCCTGATCAGGATGTCCCCAGTTATCAACTCTTGAGTTATCGCCTAGAATTTTTCCCATCCATGCTCTTTTAAGGCATCTCACCCCTGGTCATACCAAACATCCTCCATCCATACATCTTGCTCCTTTCACGCGTATGTTTTTTAGCCATGTTTGAGAGGGTGTAGATCCTGAACATGAGAGCTGATCCATCAACTGTTCACTGAAGCCTCACCAGAAATGGACCAGTGGAAGGGCGGCTGTCAGGAAGACATTCTTAATGAAGAGAAGCATTTTTCAGCAGGACAATGATCCCAAACACCTGGATAGAAGCACACTGTGGAACAGTATGGATGGGTCTCCCCAGAGCCCGGACCTCAACTTTATCAAAGCAGTGTGGGATCATCCTGACAGAGAGCAGAACAAAAGGCAGAAACATCCATTCAGCTTTGAATGTCCTTCAAGAAGCCTGCAGAACTTTTTATAAAAATGGTTATACCAATCACTCACTGTCAAGCTTGTTAGAGTTGCACAAACTCTGTTTCTGCCTCATGTGCTGTATTTCCATGTATGTTTCAATAAATTGCTGCAGCTGTTTCCCATTTTCCCAGCAACATGGAGGTGCACTCCCAAGAATACAGATACACAATCTTCACATTTACCATCAGCAGTGCAGAAAAAAGATTTTTCCATGTCATCCATCTTGTAATTAATTTGAAGTCCAGCTTCGTTTTACAGTCTCGGAGAACAATGTAAAGCACTTCCTCTGTCAGCATTTAGGTGTCACAGAGCAGCAGAAACCACCGAGCTGAGTCCGTCCCTGAGAAAGTGGGACATCGGTGAAAGCTGCATCACGTATGTAGCACGAACTCAGCATCCAGTGAGGCACTTGTAACAATGTGCAGACGAGGCAAAGTTTATCTGGAGCATCGGGCGGACTGGACGTGTGTCGTTGCAGAAGGACTGAGCGTGTGCAGTGAAATTACCTCCTGCACTTCACAACAGCTTGCTCAGCTCACACTCTGCACACACCAAACTGAACTTGGTGCTTTTTCCAGGTTTTCTCCCTGAAATTTAAACTGCAGCGTAACATTTGATGCAGAGAACACTTTGATATTTATCGTTATCTGGCAGGAAGCATGTCACCTGGATGTACATGCTCCGAGTTTTGAGGTTAAGATTAAGTGAAATTAGCAAAACTGTTATTTGTCATTTTTGACAGTCTGCCAACTTGAAAGACTGAAACAGTGGATTGTAATAGTGATAGACTCTATTGAGTTCAGTCTATAATTCCAAGGAGTAGATTTTTCAACAGCTTCTCTCATTAAAAAAATCCTCAAACAAGTTTTATTTTAGCTGATGGATGGAATTGCATGTTTAATTTCACTAATGGTTCTTTTTACTTATAAAATTGCTTTTTACATTCATTTCTGGGAAAAACAGACTATTTCCAGAGATGCTCTGCCTCCCATTCTACTTTTAAATACTCTAGGAACAACAAGTAGGCCTGCAGTGCGAGAGTGAAGTGCTCTAATAGGGTGATATGGTACTACAAGGTCATTAAGATAAGATGGGGCCTGATTATTTAAGACCTTGTATGTGAGGAGCAGGATTTTGAATTCAATTCTGGATTTAACAGGAAGCCAATGAAGGGAAGCCAAAACAGGAGAAATCATGCTCTCTCTTTCTAGTCCCTGTCAGGACTCTTGCTGCAGCATTTTGGATTAGCTGAAGGCTTTTCAGGGAGTTTTTTGGACATCCTGATAATAATGAATTACAGTAGTCCAGCCTGGAAGTAATAAATGCATGAACTAGTTTTTCAGCGTCACTCTGAGACAGGATATTTCTAATTTTAGAGATGTTGCGCAAATGGAAGAAAGCAGTCTTACATATTTGTTTAATATGTGCGTTGAAGGACATGTCCTGGTCAAAAATGACTCCAAGGTTCCTCACAGCGTTACTGGAGGCCAAGGTAATGCCATCCAGAGTAAGAATCTGGTTAGATACCATATTTCTAAGATTTTCAGGGCCGAGTACAATAACCTCAGTTTTATCTGAATTAAGAAGCAGAAAGTTAGCGGCCATCCAGGTCTTTATGTCTTTAAGACATTCCTGCAGTTTAACTAATTGGTGTGTGTTATCTGGCTTCATGGACAGATAGAGCTGGGTGTCATCTGCATAGCAGTGAAAATGTATGCTATGTCTTCTAATGATGCTGCCTAAGGGAAGCATGTATAATGTAAACAGAATTGGTCCTAGCACTGAACCCTGTGGAACTCCATAATTAACCTCAGTGTGTGAAGAGGACTCTCCATTTACATGAACAAACTGGAGTCTATTAGATAGATATGATACAAACCACTGCAGGCAGTACCTGTAATACCTACAGCATGTTCTAATCGCTCTAATAGGATATTATGGTCGACAGTATCGAATGCTGCACTGAGGTCTAGCAGGACAAGCACAGAGATGAGTCCACTGTCAGAGGCCATAAGAAGATCATTTGTAACCTTCACTAAAGCTGTTTCTGTGCTGTGATGAGCTCTGAAACCTGACTGAAACTCTTCAAATAACCATTCCTCTGCAGATGATCTGTTAGCTGTTTGACAACTACTCTTTCAAGGATGTTTTGATATGAAAGGAAGGTTGGAGATTGGCCTATAATTAGCTAAGACTGCTGGGTCTAGAGATGGCTTTTTGAATAAAGATTTAACTTGAAAGGCTTGAAAATACTGTCAGTATTGTCTGCATGACCAATCTACACAAATCAGCCTCCTACTGCTAATTATTGGACCTAATAGCATAGTTTTTTAATTAACATTCATTTAACCTTTACATTAAAGTTCCATACTGTC